CCAGGTTAGCCAGGTAAGCTCCAAGGTGACCCCACTCACCTATCCCCATTCGTAACCGTGATCCTATTAGAACATAAAAACAGCTCAGCGAAAGGAGACCAAGATCCATCAAGTTCTCCTTCCACCGCTGGGAGTTGCTTGACATGTCGTGTCCCAAACTATGTACTGTATCCCAAGATATTATTTTCTATCAGAAATCTATCTATCTATCTATTCTGGCCACCCTTATTCCAGCCATGCACACGCAGGCGGGAGGTTCTGCACAGTCCTCACCAGCTCGGCAGATGTTTGGAATGTTATTAATTTTTGTGGGTTGCTGCAGCCTCGACCATTCAGCATTCCACGTGTGGTGTTTGTGCTGGCACCCACCCGCATCCTATTTTAATAAAGAAAAGTTGACAAGAATGTTATAGTTCTCCCTCAGAGAATGTAAGTTGTGACTTCATCTCCTCTCGGTGGTTAGCAACACGGGAACAGAAGGAGGCCATTCAGTCCATGGTATTTGCTTTGCTCTTTTTACTAGATCAAGCCTTTTGTCCCAGCCCCCTTCATAATCATTGTGTTTGATACAGGGTCTTTCACGTCAGGATGTCCAACATGTTTCACAGGATTTACTGTAAAGTGTAGTGACTGAGTATTTTTGTGGGCAATCACAGCAGCCAATTTGCACACAGCAATATCCCACAAACTGCCTCGTGAATGACTAATTTTATCTGGGGCCAGGACACAAGGAGAAGTCTGTTTTCTTTTGGCCCACAAAACACAGTCACGACTTTACAGAATACCCTGTGAAGCGCTTTGAGATGTCTCAACACTGTAATAAGACACTATATCAAATGCAAGCATTATTATTAAATAGTGTCATGGGGTCTTTAAAATCCACCGAACAGGCAGAAGAGACCTTGCTTCAACATCTCATCTGAAGGGGCGGCACCTCTGACAACCCATCACTGGGGCTTGAACCTGCAAACTTGTGCCCAGAGGTGAGAGTACTACCGACTGAGCTGACACCGAAATACTTGGGAGCTGGAGTAGAAAAGCTCAGATGATGCCATCAACCACACCTAAAAGAAGCTCCTGTTATAACACAAGACTATCTAATAGGAAGGCTGCTAGAGGGAAAAGGCTCCGACTTCCCACAGAGAAGACTTTCCATTCAGCAGCTTCTGCTCTTATTCACAGAAATATCTTTCAGGATTGTGTCAAAACGGACAAACACAATGACTTGTATATATTATCGGGGCTGTTTCAAGTGACCTGATCTGCCTGTTATTTCTGTTCTCTTTGATGTAACTTACACACAGTTACAGGGAGTGCGACAGCAAAACGCAGGCAGTGTGTTTATTAAGCTTACTGGCGGGCATACAAAGACATTAGAAAATTAAAGGGAACCTAATGAAAACATCAGCAGGGTTGAAAGTAAACCTGGAGCGATGCTGTGAAGTCTTAAAATAGTTGTTCTGGGAGCAACTTGGGTGTTCCTGGGAGTGTGAAGCCCAATGCAGATCTCTGAGGTTAACGTCAATACATCTAAACGCTTAACTGTGGACAGAATCCTTGGTTATTGCTCTTAACCATGGACATGGACATACTCACCAGAACTGTGTGTGCCTCAAGGTGAGAGATTGCAGTGATGGGGAATGGGAGACTTTCCATTACAGGCTTCTACTGTCCATCCAGCTCTCCCAGGTCAGCTACAGCGTGGGTTAGATGCAGAGTAAAGCTCCCTCTACACTCCATAAAGCTTTCTCTCTCTACAGTCACACTCTACACTCCCAGGTTGGAGAGAGGTGTGCTGGGATCTACTCCATCTCCCTTCCAATGAGTCATGGAATAGCTTCACATCAAGAGTTCACAAGCTTCTCTTTTCTCTCACAGACCATCAACGTGTGAATGACATACAGACACGTGACGCCCAGTGACCGGAGGAGGGGGAGCGGGGGCTCAGTTAATTTCAAATTGCGGGAGGAAAATTTGAGAGATTTACTCCAGTCCAGTCTTCTACAATAATGTGGAGTCCTGTAGCTCAGTGGTCAGAGCACTTGCCTCGCAAGTGAGAGGACCTGGGTTTGATTCCCAGGCGGGCAGGGCGAAACCTTAGGCAAATTTCCTTACTCCACACACATACACCCCTCGGTTTACCCTGCAGTAGGCAGGAACCCGATTGTTACTCGATTGGCGGATCGCTTTTCTGGGGGTAATAATCCCTTCAAAAAAAATAATAATAATAATTTGGTCACTCAATCCACGACTGTGTTTGTGGGACACTGCTGTGCGCAATTGGCTGCCGCGTTTTGCCCACAAAAAATGTAGTCAATTCACTTTACAATATATTCTGTGAAGCGCTTTGAGGCGTCTTGATGACGTGATAAGGCGCTATATCAAATGCAAAGATTGTTATTATTATAGAATCTCTGGGTTGCCACCTCCAGCTCTTTCACATCTTGTGAATGATACTGTTTAACTCTGAGCATCTGAACCCAGTCCAAGAGAGTAATCAATTTACATTCAGAAATAACAAACTGGGAGCAAAGCTTTTATTGTGGCTTTTATTACAGCCGGAAACCTTTTGGCACAAGGTACTGCCAAGCACTAACACACAGCTGGAGCTAAAGCCACAGCTGGAGTTGCTCACAGACACAAACTCATCAGATCACTGCACTGTCAACACCTCCCGGTGTGAGTATCCGCACTGCAATCCAAAACAATGATTGCCGTCACTATCTGTGATACAACAGGGGTTCAGGTGAGCAATGAAAGCCTCTCACTCTGCTTCCCGTGCTGGGCAGACCATACAGGCACAGGGGACAGGGATTCTGCCCAGCAGCAATGTGTAGGATGGTCCCAGCTAGACAAGCAACAACAAAATTACATTTATAGAACGCCTTTCATGTTGAACAGTCAGGTGTCGGGGCCCGAGCATGGGGGAGGGGTGGTGTAGGAGTGAGGGAAGGCAGAGAGGTGGGAGGGAGACCAAAGGCACGGTCGAAGAGAAGGGTCTTGAGACCGGCCGTGAAGGAGGAAAGGGAGGAAGCGAGGGGAAGGGACCGTGGGATGGAATTCCAGAGTGTGGGGGCAGAGCGGCTGAAAGCCCGGCCACCAATGGTAGGGTGGGAGACATGGAGCAGCCCAGAGCCCAATGAACGGAGGGAGCAGGCAGGTTGGTAGGGAGTCAGCAGGTCAGAGAGGTAGGAGGGTGTGAGGCCATGGATGGCCTTGAACTCGATCCTCTGGGGGATGGGGAGCCAGTGGAGTCGGGCGAGGGTGGGAGTGATGGGGTCGCGGAGCCTGGTGCGCGAGAGTACACGAGCTGCAGAGGTTTGGATGATCTGCAGCTTGTGAAAGAGGGGAAGGACAATGAGGAGGGAGTTCCCGTAATCGAGCCTTGAGGTGACAAATGCGTGAGTGAGGGTTTGGGGCAGCCTGAGGGGTGAGGCAGTGGCGGAGTCTGGCAATGTTGCGGAGGTGGTGATAGGCAGTGCCGGTCATGGCGCGGATGTGGGAAAGGTTTGCCAGGCAGTGCTCACAATAGCAAGCTATGCAAGTGTAAGATGGATAAAACCCAGAACGTTATCCCAATGCAGGCTCTGGGAGTCTCCAAACCTTGGCAACTTGGGCCTAATACTCTCTGCAACGAGATACAGAAGGTGTTTCCTTCCAGGGAGAATGCGCATTCCAATCCAGATTCAGGGACAATTTCATGTGTAGGGTGGCGTAGATATGTGAACTCTCAGTCTGGTTTCGATACTGTTAAGCTTGATCTGGTTCCCACACGGGTCAGACGCCCGGCTGATCAAAACAAACTTTCAGTTTATACACTGCCCACCTTCAGAAACTCCAAATCTAACCAATATCACTGGTTGTCATGTCAGGAGGTATATAACGGAATAGAATCAGGCAGTGGTTGACTGTGTCTGAAAACCCATGAAATGACATTACAAGTTACATTAATAATTCCGGTGTTCGATATAGCTCCTTATCAGATTGTCAATATGCCTCAAATCACTTCACTGTGAGGGTTTCACTGTACAGCAATGGTGGCTAAGCTTCATGGTCCACCAACAAAATAAATCTTGTTGATTGAATATTTGTTGATATATGCATAAAGCAAGAAACAATAGGACTTACCGAGACGTGCGCAAATGTTTGGGGTTGGGGGTGCTTCTCCTGACAGCTCTGCCGGCCACTTCCAGCCCACGGGCTACAGGTGGTCCACTGCTGCTGTAGACTGTAGTGACTGTGTGTGTGTAAGGTAACGACTGTAGCTGTAATATCGCCAGGCCTGCACCCCTCCATGTTGTGTCTACCTGTCAGTCATCCTTCTTCAAACCTTCGCCAGAACCCAGCTTCCCAGCTTAAGTGGGATATCCTACATAAATAACTTTCCTAAATAAAGTCTGAGGATATCACAGAGCTGGCTGAGGGAAAGCATTTTATTTCACAACTGATTTATCGTAGCCTTCTGCGCACATTCCGACAGCTTTTATTTAATATTGTTTATTTTATGCAGTGGGAGAAACTAATAATAATTTTTTTTTTTACTCGCTAACCCTTTCAGTTGTGAATAATAATAATAATAAAACAAAATGCAAAATGCTGCAGATGCTGGCAATCCGAAACAAAAACAGAAGTGGCCGGGAACCCTCAGCAGGTCAGGCAGCATCTACGGAGAAAGGAAAGTGCGTCAACGTTTCGGGTCCACGACCCTTTCTGTCTTCTGTTTTGTGTTGTTAATAATAATGTTTGTGGGCTGCTGCCACACATTTGGCCCACAAAATATACAGTCAATTCACTTTACAGTATGTTCTGTGAAACGCTTTTGAGACGCCTCGCGGATGTGTTGAGGCGCTATATAATAAATGCAAGGATTATTATTATTATGTGTCTGCGGGGGTGGGGGCGGGGGGGGGGGGCTGGAGTTTAACCAGCTAAAACCACTCAGGAACATCGTGTTACGCAGACCCTGGAATGAGTACATTTAGCCGAGCCAGACCAGTCTAAACAGCCAACCGTTTATTTCAAACTCAAACCTCAAACACAAACGTTCTCCCAAAAGGAATAAACAGAAGCGAGAACGATAGCGTCGCGCCCGTCTCCGAGTTCACGCTCTCTGGCCACACGAGTGCGGGTCTCGGACAGATAACACCAACATGAAGTGCACAGGAACATTCCCTCAATTTGTGGCATTTATATCAAGTCAATAAACACTTGTACATTGAACAGATGCTAAAGGAACAAGGGTCCCAGCAATGCCTGGCCCAAACCAACACGTGTACACCAGTCTTGGGGTGCACATGTGTATAAAACAAAGACTATATGGTCTATATTCCCTGCACACACAGTATCCCTTTTTCTTGACACCTTATAGAAGCTGATCATTGGCTAACGTGCCAGACAGCATCGGCTACTTACACTGCACTGTCACTGAAGTAATGGGTGGAATGTATCCCTGGAGCATGCTCTTGGCCAGTACCCTTAAGGAGTTGCCCATCTGTGGCTGTAGTGGTGATGTCCGGCCTCGGTACCTCCCTGTGGTCCTGATATTTACGATGCAGACTGTGTTACCCTGTGCCTCACATCCACACAGAGCTGCAAACAGCATGAAGTGCTCATTCCTGCACTTCCTTCACACAAAGACAACTCGTGTTAGCAATTGCTCCGATAGGCCCAAGTATAGAGTGAATGTGCTATGAAAGTACGTACTACGATGAAACTTAGATGTCCTGGGTTTAAGGTGACAGAGGGACACTGGGGCTAAACACGTGTATGGAACTGATTCAGTATTTTGCTCATATGGTTCCATTCCTCTTGTCCATTGTCCAGAGATGTCATTCCTGCAGCCTTAACAAGAGACCATATACATCAGACACTAATATACACAGCAAAACTGTACATCATCTTCCTCCTCTGTCATGCCTTCCCTTCTTCCTAGATTCCTGTCAACTAATCAGCACCTCATCACGTCATTGAGCATCTCCCAACACTTTGCAAGATTTACAGTGAAGTGTAGTGACTGTATATTTGCAGGCAAATGCCTATTAGGCACAGGATGGCAATAGCCAAGGCTTTGGGACCCCAGAGTGTGCATTGTTTACCCATCTTGTTACACTCACATGTTGAATTACAGTTTGATTGACAGACTAAACCCTAACCATTTAAGCGCGTGACAGCAGTACTGGGAGAGTTCGACGCCTGGAATAGAAAGCACTGTTTCTCCTGTGTATTTCTCACTTGAGGATCAAAGGAAAAATGTGGCAATAATCATTTACAATCCGTAAAAAGAGAAAGAGACAGGGAGAGTCTGAGGTTTGTTCGAGAACTAAATATTTAACCAAAGTAGCTCCAACTGTCCCGATGTTCACAAGCAAGTTTATCAAATCTTTCAAATAGGAAATATTATAGTTCATGACCCCCTCCACCTCCTCCTCCTCTGACACACACATACACACACACAGCTGCATGTAGGAATTAAATATAGAAAGTACATGTGCTTCATTGCAGGGACAGAGCTGTAAAGGAGGAAGCTGGGAAGGGATCCAGTGGTGTTCCAGAATCATCTCAGTGCCCCGGATAGAACTGGTCACTCACTTCATGGCTCTGTGTGGGACATTGCTGTGTGCTGGGTTTGCCTACAAAACATAGAGTCACTACACTTTACAGTTGAATGCTGTGAAGTTCTTTGAGGCAACCTCCCAGCGTGAAAGATGGTGTGTTTAATGTAAAGATTGTTACTGTAGAGTAGACTCTTCTCGGGCCTCACCTTAATCCTGGACGTGCTGTGCCTGTGAGGAACCAAACATCTTGCTGCACATGTTCTTCTCCTTCTGGCTCCAATCCCGATACGAGCTGAAGAGACAAGAGTATTACTGGCCGACAATCTCACACAGACCCTCCTGCCCCACCTCAGGAAACGGCCACCTGACTGAGTGGTCTCCGAGTCACTCAGTTTCCTTTGGCTGCGCAGGGACAGGTCCGGCTCTGCGTGGAGATGACGCAGACTCTGGTTCAAGTTTAAACCAAATGTTCTGAACAGGGTATATTGTCCACATTCTCTTCCTGCCCCAGATGGTGGTGAAGAGCATGAGCGCCCCCTACTGTCAGAGTGAGATCAGGTGGCTGCAGCATCTCTGCCGATTCTGGTGTAGATAATGAGTGAAGAGGGCAGTTACTGGAGCATAAACCCAGGACTCACAGTGATGGGGAGTGTGTAGCCTGGACTTACAGTGACCTGGGTGGGGGGAGGCAGGGGTAGAGCCCTCCACCCCTCTGGCTGCCTGAGTTACCTGTCCAGCTTGACCAAAGCACGGTTGATGTCAGGGTTGAAGGGCTGACGTTTCTGTGCTCGGAGCAGGAAGACTCTGGCTTTGTTGTACTCCAGCATCTCGAAGCAGGCCTGGATCAGGATTAAAGAGGACACCAGGCTTGAGGCAGGAGGCAGGGGAGCTCAGCACATCACCAGATTTTTCAATCCCATTTACCTGCCTTAATAGTAATATTTGCATTTGATACAGCGTCTCATCACGTCTTCGAGACGTCTCAAAGCGCTTCACAGAATATACTGCAAAGTGAACCGACAATATTTTGTGGGCAAAACCCGGCAGACAATTGCACACAGCAGCGTCCCCACAAACAGTTGTGGATTGAAAATGACCAATTTATTATTGTTTTTGTTTTTTGGAGGGATTATCATTAGACGTGTGGAGTAAGGAAACTTGCCCGAGGTTACGTCCTGACCTGCCGGGAATCGAACCCAGGTGTCTCGCTTGCAAGGCGAGTGCTCTAACCACTGAGCTACAGGACTCCATGGGAATCAGACCCAGGCCTCTCACTTGCGAGGCGGGAACACTCACCATTGAGCTACAGGACTCCTATTCTGAGGCTCGGTTACTCACCGGCCTGGTGACCTCTCACTCCGCGACGGGGAGAGGAGCCTGAGCTCATTAACACGAGGGGCTTCTCTGTCACTAACACAGCTGGAGCCTGCACTGACCTGGCCACAGCGGAACAAAGCTTTGGGGTTATGTTGGTCGATGTCCAGCGCCCGCTCTCCGTACACCAGGGCACGTCTGGGTGCGTTCAGCCGCAGGCCCACCAGGGACATGTTGAGGAACAGCAGCAGTTTCGAGGCCTGGACTCTCTCCAACTCCTGCTCGCTCTCCGGGTGTCGGTGAGAGAACACAGCCAGGGCCTGAAACACACAAGAGCATGGAGCCCACCACACCCAGCGCTGAGCATCTCCCCCCAGGGCTCTCACCACACCCCCACCCACCCCACTTGCTCGCTGGTGCAGCAAACAGGAAGTGGGGTTGTCAGCCTCGACCTAATGACGAAGTCGCGCCCTCATCACTGCGGAAAGCTTGTGTTGATTGTCAATTGCAGAGGGTGAGGGGTCAGGGCGGGTTGGGGGGGGGGTGACATTGTGCTGCCCCCTTCCCCCGCACACTTCGTACCCCCGGTGGAGCTCCTCAAGTACCTTCTTATACTTATCCTTGGCGTCCTCAAATCGCTGCTTTCTGAAGTAGTAATTCCCAAATTCCCGCTGCGTCTCCGCCACCCTCAGCAGCTTGTCCAGCGGGAACCTGGTCTGGTCCTCCTGGAACAGGAGACCTGAGCTGGAGTCAGCCGGCACCAGCCCATTGTTTCTACCACCCCAATTCCAATTCCCTGCTCATTCCACCCCATCGACTATTAGCTCAGCCCCCAGCCCTCCTCACATCCCCATATACAGACCCCCACAGCTCTGCCGGTAACCTGCACCCCCCCCCCCCACCATGTGGAGTCCTGTAACTCAGTGGTAAGAGCACTCGCCTCGCAAGCGAGAGGACGAGGGTTTGATTCCCGGGCAGGGGAGGGTTGAGCAAGTTTCCTTACTCCACACACCTCTGTTGACCGAGCAGTAAGTAGAAACTTAGCTGTCAGTGATTGGCTTTTACGGGGGTAATAAGCCCTTCAAAAAAAAGAATTTGGTCACTCAATCCACGACTGTTTGTGGGACGGTGCTGAGTACAATTGGCTGCCGCGTTTGGCCCACAAAATATACAGTCAATTCACTTTACGGTATATTCTGTGAAGCGCTTTGAGACGTTCTCGAAGGATCAATATTATTATTATTATTATTATTATTCCTCCCACTTGCCTGTGAAAGGGCAAAATATTCATCTGAGATGGAAGTATCCAGAAAACCCAACATCTCCAGCTCCAGGAGGACTGTGGCATTGGGCGGGATTCGAGGGGGGCAACCGAGCCGCCCGTACGCATATTCCGGCTTCAGGAGAAAGCGGGCGAACTCTCCTTCTCTCATGGTCCGCACCCCCAGTTCCATGCCAACCAGCGTGATATCTGCAACACAGGGCGGTACCTCAGACACCAGGGACAGCGAGTGACACCGTACTTGCCGTCGGGCTGAGAAGATGGCGTTACAATGCCGGGCCGGGCCGCCGGGTGGCGCTCTCGCTCCACACTTTATTTCGCGCTCCGCAAAATGCAAGTTGTTGCCGTTGTGGCGCCGGCGACGCGGTCCGTCCGGCTCTCACCTCGGCCCAGCTTCATGAAGCCCGGAACCTTCCTGTGCACGTTGGAGTCGAACGGCTCGTTGGCGTGTTCCACATAAGCACTGTAATAAACTGCGGGGGGGGGGGGGGGTGAGGGGGGGGAGGGGTGGGGGGGGGGGGGAGAAAAACCATCAGGGACACTCCCGGCTTTACAACACAACAACAACAAGATGCCATTTATAGAGCGCCTTTCACGTCGGGAGGACGTCCCGAAGCGCTGGACAGTTGGGTCGGGACCCGAGCATTGGGGGGAAATGGGTCAGGGTGAGGGGAGGGAAGGGGGGGGGTGAGGAGGGGGGGAATGGTCAGGGTGAGGGGAGGGAGGGGAGGGAGCGAGGAGGGGGGAGATGGTCAGGGTGAGGGGAGGGAGGGGAGGGGGCGCGGAGGAAGGAGAGAACGTTGGCCGTAGGTACGTAACAACAATCCTTACGTTCGATATCGCTCCTTCGTATCTCGACGCCTCAAAGCGCTTCACAGAATTAGACCGTAAAGCGAATTGGCCGTATCTTTGTGGGTGAGTTTGTTTCCGGGGGATTACTACCACCGGGAAAAGCCGTCGGCCGATCGAGCAGCAAACCCGGGCTCCGGCCTAACGCCGGTCAATGCGGAGTAAAGAAACCTGCAGAAGGTTGGGGCCCCGCCCGGGAAACCCACCCCCAGGTCCTCTCGCGAGCGAGGAGAGGGCTCTGAGCTCCGAGCGGCCGGGCGCCGCGCGGTCTCGCTGGCGGAGCGCGGTCCTCGGTACCTGACACCAATGCGTCGGCGGGAACGACGGGGCCAGAGCCGGATCTCAGCGTCTCCTTCAGCGCACCTCGGTCACCCGCGAGGTCCTCCATCCTCCGGCTCATCTGCTCAAAGGGACTCTGAAACCAGAGGGAAGAGCGTCCAACGGTGAAGGCCCTCCTCCCACCGCCCTCCTCTCCCACCGTCAGCGACACACCCCTCGGCCCTTCACGATGCCGTGTGAGACAACAGGACTGGTCCCCCCCACAGAGCTGCACCAGGAGCCCACTCCCCCCACAGAGCTGCACCAGGAGCCCACTCCCCCCCCAGAGCTGCACCAGGAGCCCACTCCCCACCTCAGAGCTACACCAGGAGCCCACTCCCCCCCCCAGAGCTGCACCAGGAGCCCACTCCCCCCCCCAGAGCTGCACCAGGAGCCCACTCCCCCCCCCAGAGCTGCACCAGGAGTCCACTCCCCCCCCCCAGAGCTGCACCAGGAGCCCACTCCCCCCCAGAGCTGCACCAGGAGCCCACTCCCCCCCCAGAGCTGCACCAGGAGCCCACTCCCCCACCACCTGCACCAGGAGCCCACTCCCCCCCACAGAGCTGCACCAGGAGCCCACTCCCCCCCACAGAATAAACGGCTCCCGGGACACCACTCCACCGGCACAGCCCTGACCTCCTGCATCGCCCCGACCCCTCCCCTCAGCCCCTCCCCCCGACCCCACCCTCAGCCCCTCCCCCCGACCCCTCCCCTCAGCCCCTCCCCCCGACCCCACCCTCAGCCCCTCCCCCCGACCCCTCCCCTCAGCCCCTCCCCCCGACCCCTCCCTCGGCCCCTCCCCCCGACCCCTCCCTCAGCCCTCCCCCGACCCCACCCTCGGCCCCTCGGTCCCGCCCCTCATCCGAGGCCCCGCCCCTCAGCCCCGCCCCCGGGCTGTGTACCCTCTGTGTGTGTATAATGTGGGGGAACACAATGCTGAACTGAGCTGAGCTGCGCTGCGCTGCGCTGAGCTGAGCTGCGCTGAGCTGCGCTGAGCTGAGCTGAGCTGCGCTGCGCTGAGCTGCGCTGAGCTGAGCTGAGCTGCGCTGAGCTGAGCTGAGCTGCGCTGAGCTGCGCTGAGCTGCGCTGAGCTGAGCTGCGCTGAGCTGCGCTGAGCTGAGCTGCGCTGAGCTGAGCTGAGCTGCGCTGAGCTGAGCTGCGCTGAGCTGAGCTGCGCTGAGCTGCGCTGAGCTGAGCTGCGCTGAGCTGAGCTGAGCTGAGCTGCGGCTGAGCTGGCTGAGCTGCGCTGAGCTGAGCTGGCTGAGCTGCGCTGAGCTGAGCTGCGCTGGCTGAGCTGAGCTGGCTGAGCTGAGCTGAGCTGAGCTGCGCTGAGCTGGCTGAGCTGAGCTGAGCTGCGCTGAGCTGAGCTGAGCTGAGCTGAGCTGCGCTGAGCTGAGCTGCGCTGAGCTGAGCTGAGCTGAGCTGAGCTGCGCTGAGCTGAGCTGCGCTGAGCTGAGCTGCGCTGAGCTGAGCTGCGCTGAGCTGCGCTGAGCTGAGCTGAGCTGAGCTGAGCTGCACTGAGCTGAGCTGAGCTGCGCTGAGCTGAGCTGCACTGAGCTGAGCTGCACTGAGCTGAGCTGCGCTGAGCTGAGCTGAGCTGCGCTGAGCTGAGCTGCACTGAGCTGAGCTGCGCTGAGCTGCGCTGAGCTGCGCTGAGCTGAGCTGAGCTGAGCTGCACTGAGCTGAGCTGAGCTGCGCTGAGCTGAGCTGCACTGAGCTGAGCTGCACTGAGCTGAGCTGCGCTGAGCTGAGCTGAGCTGCACTGAGCTGAGCTGCGCTGAGCTGAGCTGAGCTGCACTGAGCTGAGCTGAGCTGCGCTGAGCTGCCGGGGACCAGGCGTCAGAGCAGAGTCGGAGTCGGGCGGATTTACCACATCACCTTTAAACACATTTCCATATCAACCTTTCGTGACCTGTCCCTCTGACTGCGCTGATCCCCACCCACACCGTCCCCTCAAGCGCAGCTTCATTCTGTGCTCGAGAGCATCTCAAAATGTTTTGACTTTGGGGCACTTCTGAAGCTGCAATTTTTGAAGCTTTAGTCTTTTATCTAAAAGCCGAATGACACCGGGTTTGCTGACCGGCCAGGTACGAGCTTGGATTCTGGGCCTCGTGTTATTGCATTTTTTTTTCCATTAATCCTTTATACAATAGCGAATGAAGATGAGAGGCCATCAGCTTCCCTGTCTCCTCGCGGGGGAGGTCCGCTTGCAAGCAAGGACTACGTGTTTTCAGCAGACAACGTACTTGGTTCTTCCTCTTTTTATCTGCAATGAAGCAAACCTCTCACACCGGGCAGCCGGGTCCCAACTCTGACCAACGTCCAGCTCTCGTCCAGAACATCAAGCAGCCTGGCTTCCATTCTCACGAGGAATGCGTGGGGCAGGTTGTCCGAAAGGGAGATACTTGGGGCTGGAAGGGTGTTACGCAACGTGGAGCAAAGGTGGGAAAGGGGAATAAAAGATCTGCTCGGTTTAATAAAAAAAAAGCCGAATACTGCACATGCCGGAAACCTGACATAAAAACAGAGAGTGGTTGGGAACACTCGGCAGGTCAGGCCGCATCTACGGAGAGAGGAAAGTGGGTTAACTTTTCCGGTCTCTCCATAGATGCTGCCTGACCTGCTGAGTGTTCCCAGCCACTTCGGTTTCTATTTCACGCTCGGGCTAATAAACTTAAAACGAGGAGCACTGGGCAAAGCTTTCACATGAGCTTGAAACATTTATAACTGAACATATCCGAACCAGCACTCGGGAACCAGAAACGGACCACTCGCAAGTTTCATTATTTAGTTTTATCAACTGCCTCCGCATAAAGCAGAGGTGAAACTCCACTCTCCGCGTTCCCGTCATTAAATCATCTGCCTTCAAAAAAAAACTATTGGGGGTCACTCTCTCCACGACTGTGCGTGGGCCACTCGCTGCTGGGCGCAGTGGGCTGCCGCGTTTCACCCACAAAACATCGAAGGCGGGGATAAGGTGATCAGGATTATTATTATAAATTTACTTTATTTTCTTAACGTGCGGAATTTTGAAAACCGTTAGCTGCGTTCTCAATTTTGAAGCCGGTTCCTCCTCAAATTGCATTAACACGAAATGTCTTTCAAAGCTGAGACTGAATTCAACAATTTGCCACGTGCCGGAGGCTCCGAATTGCTGAGAGCAAATAGAGTAAGTCTAGACCTGACTAAACTGTCCCTCAAGCACTGAACGCAAAGCCAGTTCAGAAATTGCTTTGACCCTGCTGCTCAACAGGGAACGTTCCCTCAGTGAGAAATGAACAATCTCTCACAGGACTTATTTTCCATAAGTGTTTGCTGGAAGAATGAGTAAAGCATCAAAGATGATTGTCAAAACGGTCTCCAGACCATTCGTTCGCCAGATGTGTGGAGTCCTGTAGCTCAGCGGTTAGAACCCTCAACGCCAAGTGAGGGGACCTGGTTAGAATCCCGGGCAAGGTGAAACGTTGGGCAAGTTTCCTTAGGCCGCAGCCCTCTGTTTACTGAGCAGTAAGTAGGAACCCAGTTGTTAGTTGATTGGGGGATTACTTTTCCAGGGGTAATAATCCCTTCAAAAAAAAATAAGAATTTGGTCACCCGTTCCACGACTGTTTGTGGGACACTGCTGTGTGCAATTGGCTGCCGCGTTTCGCCCACAAATATACAACAACAACAGCAAAATTACATTTGCAAAGCGCCTTTCATGTCGGGAGGACGTCCCAAGGCGCTGGACGGACTGAGTTACGGGCGCGAGCTGGGGGTCGGGGTGGTAGAAGGGGGAGGGCGGGGGCGGACGAAGGGAGATCGAACGCACGGTCAAAGAGGAGGGTCTTGAGATGGATCTGGAAGGTGGCGAGGGAGGGGGCGAGACGGAGGGACTGCGGGATGGAGTTCCAGGAGAGCCTCGGTCTTGTTGACGTTCAACTGAAGAAAGTTAGTTCTCATCCAGGACTTGATGTCTGACAGACATTCGGTCAGGACAGAAGTTGTCCTGCAGTCGAGGGTGGAGGCAGAGGTACAGTTGGGTGTCATCCCCATACATGTGGAAGTTGAGCCCATGTCTGCGGATGATGTCACCAACAGACAGACAACTGACTGTACAGTATATTCTGTGAAGTGCTTTGAGATGTCTTGAAAATGTGATAAGGCGCTGTATCAAGTGCAAGGATTATTATTATATAAGTTGAGTTTTAGGCTAAAGTTTGCTCTTTTTAATAAAAACTTTCTTTTAATTTATGGCGGCTAAAATGACCACTAGGTAGCAGTACACACACACACACTCCCTCATTTGATTTATTTTCACACAAGCTATTCTTGTATTATAATAATAGTAGCAATATAATTATTATTATTATTATTAAAATAAACTCTAACTGAAGAGGACTCTGCTCCACATGTGCATTAGGAACATAGGAACAGGAGGAGGCCATTTCAACTCCTCGAGCCTGTTCTGCCATTCTATAAGATCATGGCTGATCTGTACCTCAACTGCAATTACCCGCCCTCGCCCCATATCCCTTGATCCCCTGACCTAACAAACATCTCCACCTCAGTCTTGGTAATTTGAATGGATTCAGCATCCATTCAACAGCCTTTTGGTGGGGGAAGAGAGTTCCAGATTTCCGACGCCTTTAGGTGAAAAGCTGCCTCCTGGTTTCACTGCTAAATAATAATAATAATAATAATAATAATCCTTGCATTTGATATAGCGCTTTTCACGTCGGAGACGTCCCAAAGCGCTTCACAGAACACACTGTAAAGTGAATTGACTGTATATTTGTGGGCGAACGCGGCAGCCAATTGCGCACAGCAATGTCCACAAACAGTCGTGGATTGAAAATGACAATTTATTATTGTTTTGGGTTTGGAGGGAATATTATTAGGCTCTGTGTGGAGTAAGGAACTTGCCAGGTTTCGCCCTCTGCCTGGAATTGAACTCACGTCTCTCGCTTGCAAAGCGAGTGCTCTAACCACTGAGCTACAGGACTCCACAAATGACCCAGCTCAAATTTTAAGACTATGCCCCCTCCGCTCTGGACTCTACAGTGCAGCATTAAATTGAGGCTCAGAGACATTGCGTTTGGACCCAAGTTTGTTATTCAACTCTTGTCCACGTCAGTGATCCAGTGAGACCTTGGGTCCCTTACCCAGGCTCATTAATCACCCATTAATGACTGAGAGACACGGAAACAAAGCCTTGGAGCGTATTGATAGCCTATTCTTAAAAGCTGAAACGCGGAAAATGTCAGGTTAAGGAACTGCGGGTGAGATTAATTCAGAACCAGATATATGATCGATATTTGGCATAGAGTCACAGCACCGGCCAAGACATTGATGAAAGCAGTGAGACAAAAAAAAAATCACCAGTTTCCAAATCTCCAACGGAATATTAGGTTAAAAGTTCCACAGAAAACAATGGAAATTCATTCCATTTAATGCCTAAAGAATGTGACCTCCCTCTGAACTCGGTGTCTCCATGTCAGAAGCTTACTAAAACATTTGGGCAGGTTACAATTAGGCAGAAAAAAAGTAGGCATCGAGGGAAACTGAGCAGTTGATAACGCCACTTTAAGGGTTTTTAGTGAAGCGAGGAACGTCAGGCGTTAGGGAGACCTGCCCACGCTCCATCTGCTTAAAGGGGTAGGCACAAGATCGCAAGATTGGTTTGGATGAAGAAGGCC